ATGGTTCTTTCCTTTTTCTGACTCATCGTGAAACATGCCCAGTACAGTGCTAAAATGAACTTGTCAAAAAAAAAGTTAAAGGATATACTTACTCCAAGATGCCTTGCTACAGGCTTGCTTCAGACTTTGCATGTAGTCACCACCCCCCCAAATAAAGCGGTCTACATCCAACCCGAGCAGGATATGATTGCAGGATTCGTGGGGTGACACCTATACAGGGAGTGCAGAATTATTAGGCAAATGAGTATTTTGACCACATCATCCTCTTTATGCATGTTGTCTTACTCCAAGCTGTATAGGCTCGAAAGCCTACTACCAATTAAGCATATTAGGTGATGTGCATCTCTGTAATGAGAAGGGGTGTGGTCTAATGACATCAACACCCTATATCAGGTGTGCATAATTATTAGGCAACTTCCTTTCCTTTGGCAAAATGGGTCAAAAGAAGGACTTGACAGGCTCAGAAAAGTCAAAAATAGTGAGATATCTTGCAGAGGGATGCAGCACTCTTAAAATTGCAAAGCTTCTGAAGCGTGATCATCGAACAATCAAGCGTTTCATTCAAAATAGTCAACAGGGTCGCAAGAAGCGTGTGGAAAAACCAAGGCGCAAAATAACTGCCCATGAACTGAGAAAAGTCAAGCGTGCAGCTGCCACGATGCCACTTGCCACCAGTCTGGCCATATTTCAGAGCTGCAACATCACTGGAGTGCCCAAAAGCACAAGGTGTGCAATACTCAGAGACATGGCCAAGGTAAGAAAGGCTGAAAGACGACCACCACTGAACAAGACACACAAGCTGAAACGTCAAGACTGGGCCAAGAAATATCTCAAGACTGATTTTTCTAAGGTTTTATGGACTGATGAAATGAGAGTGAGTCTTGATGGGCCAGATGGATGGGCCCGTGGCTGGATTGGTAAAGGGCAGAGAGCTCCAGTCCGACTCAGACGCCAGCAAGGTGGAGGTGGAGTACTGGTTTGGGCTGGTATCATCAAAGATGAGCTTGTGGGGCCTTTTCGGGTTGAGGATGGAGTCAAGCTCAACTCCCAGTCCTACTGCCAGTTCCTGGAAGACACCTTCTTCAAGCAGTGGTACAGGAAGAAGTCTGCATCCTTCAAGAAAAACATGATTTTCATGCAGGACAATGCTCCATCACACGCGTCCAAGTACTCCACAGCGTGGCTGGCAAGAAAGGGTATAAAAGAAGAAAATCTAATGACATGGCCTCCTTGTTCACCTGATCTGAACCCCATTGAGAACCTGTGGTCCATCATCAAATGTGAGATTTACAAGGAGGGAAAACAGTACACCTCTCTGAACAGTGTCTGGGAGGCTGTGGTTGCTGCTGCACGCAATGTTGATGGTGAACAGATCAAAACACTGACAGAATCCATGGATGGCAGGCTTTTGAGTGTCCTTGCAAAGAAAGGTGGCTATATTGGTCACTGATTTGTTTTTGTTTTGTTTTTGAATGTCAGAAATGTATATTTGTGAATGTTGAGATGTTATATTGGTTTCACTGGTAATAATAAATAATTGAAATGGGTATATATTTGTTTTTTGTTAAGTTGCCTAATAATTATGCACAGTAATAGTCACCTGCACACACAGATATCCCCCTAACATAGCTAAAACTAAAAACAAACTAAAAACTACTTCCAAAAATATTCAGCTTTGATATTAATGAGTTTTTTGGGTTCATTGAGAACATGGTTGTTGTTCAATAATAAAATTAATCCTCAAAAATACAACTTGCCTAATAATTCTGCACTCCCTGTACAAAATGACACCCTTAGATGCAGCTTATGCTATGCCAAAGTCCAGGAAGGACAAAGTAATTAAAAAAAGTAAACATAGCTTTACTTTCAATTTGGCCACAAGAATGAAGAGACTACTCCAAATGATGTTGCGCATGAAGAGTGTCTTGTACCCGGTGTTCAAAGTTACTCCTAAAGTGGCTCTTTCACCTTCTGTGGTTATTGTCTAGTTTGGCACAGCCGCTGGGGGTCCAGGCTGAGACAAATTACCCAAAGCTGTCCATCTGCAGCTGGGTGGCCCTCTTCAACAACTGGCACTTCAGTGTTCTGCCCCTGTGGTCTCCTAGTACATCATCTATGGTGGATCCTGCAAGACCCTCCGTAGACCATGCCTTTTTCTTCACCGCCAAGTGACAACGATAGTTTATATAAGACATAATAGTCTTTATGTCTTATGTATGTTAACAATGGCCCTGGGAGGGGGTTGGATGTTGCAAATGGACACGGCTAAGCGTCAACGCTGAAAAAAAAACTACCAGGAAATAACAGAATTTGTATGTTTCAATCTGTTTTGTAAGGATCCTGGGGGAAACTGAAATAACTCATTCAATTATAAACACTGCAGGCAGAATGTAGCAGCCAAATATAAATAAACAAGACAAGCCACGCTGAAGTAAGTCCTCAAAGGACAAGACTATAACATCTGCAAAACATGTCTGTTCCTTTCCAAGATATTGTAATATAAAATGCTGCAGGCAGAGAGAGCACGTGATCTTAAAAAGGATCAGATGGTTGCAAAATAGACAGCATTGGGTCAAATAACTATCAACCTGACCAAAAGGTGCAGACGGGTGTCCAAAAAAAGTGTGGGGGAGTGGAAGTTAGGCAAAGGATTTTTCTTTAAAGGGACACTATAGTCACCAAAACACCTTTAGCGTAATGAAGCTGTTTTGGTGTATAGAGAATGCCTCTGCGGTCTCACTGCATAATTCTCTGCCATTTAGGAGTTGAAGCACTCTAGCAAGCTATAAACAGAGCAGGAGATAATAAATTCAGAATTTACAAGGTAGTGTAAACATTAGATGACTCTTTACAGGAAGTGTTTAGGAAGACTGTGTAAAGTGTGGCTAGGGCTGCAGGGGAGGCGGGGCCAGACAGCCAAGTTGGCCGGTCGCACACTCTAAGTGCTCCTGCAATACAGAGCACAAACGCTACCACAGATCGACCCCTTAACGCTAGCAACTCACAGCAACCAGAGATCTACTCACGATAACGAGTAACAGAACGGTGCCGCTCCGGCACCGATGCGAGAGAACGACCCATAGCGACCATGCGACCTACAATAGAGCGGAGCCTGAGGCCTGGGGGAGGTGGCCGATCTCCCGACACGGGACCCCCTCACATGCGTGGACTCCGCACCACCCCTCCCCCCCCTCGGACCGGCAAGGAATGTCCCGGTCCTTGCTGGGGACGATCACCCCCACACCGCCATCTGACCAAGCGACTAAACTCAAAGCAATGTGGGCATGTCCAGGCCCACACAAGATGGCGGCACTGACACAGCCTACCACAAAACGCACTTTAATCAAGCCCCCCAGACACTCACAGGAATTCTACCACCAGATCTGAGCCTGCCTGTGGATTAGGCTCCAGGCCAAGAGACGGTCCTACATGATGGCGATCAATAAGGTGGCAGCGTGGATCCGCCCAGCAATCCGGCTCCACTTGGGCGGGAATCCCCCTCGTGTCTCCAGAGCGGCCCGGAGACCAGCACAGAGGAAAACAACTCCAGGTATCCTGGGCACCAGCACTCACTTGCCTTGGAGGGGGTCCCGCCAATATGCCTGACCCGCCTGCACATCAGCGGCCCTAACGGCCATCACCCGTCAGGGCGCAACCCCACGTTTGAACACTCACCGTTCCAGCTGCGTTGCAGACCGGGAGGCAGGGAGAATGGACACCGGCGAGAGACGCGGGCGGAGTGCCCCACCGCGACCTACGGGGAAGAGGACCTTGATCCAAAAAGTACACCAAGCAGAGCCTACCTGCTCGCAACTCGCCAAGAACCTCTGACCGGCTGCATCGACCAACACAGGGGGGACACACTCAGCCACGAATAGGCATTGGCTAACCTGGTAGGGACTTGGACTTATTACCAGGCATAGTAACCACTGTCACTCAGCCTTTTATGCCCCAAACAAACTCTCATGAACCTCATTCAGTGTTACTCTGCCTAGCATGCTCCAGAAACTTTGAACTAGCTAAGTCTGCACATAGATTTGAAAGTTAAACTCACACTTCGCCTAGCATGTACTATAACATAGGGATCATGCGAGCCCCTTCTCCGGGTGGCACACCTCTAAGGGCATACCGGCCTATTTAACCGACACCATCCCTACTGCTGCAGAAGTATCCCAGCTGTGCTGGGCATAATAGTGCAACCATTAGTTTATACCCCGTTAGCCTCCCATGCACCTACACCTTACATAGGGCCCAGCGGCTACTCTGCTGAAATATTACAGTTTAGTGTGTTACTTTATTTTGTATCATTATATTCGACTAAGTTACTGTCAATCCATATAGTATGTCTTAACCAGCCTTACTGTTTTTTTGTTAAGCGACATTATATGCATTAACCAGTTTATCACTTCAAAAAAAAAAATGTGCAGTACCATCACATGCCACAATCTCATGTCTTTTGAAATGTCTGTATTCACTGCTGTAACATGGCAAGCCTGTTTGTTCAAACTTTTGCACAATAAAAAAAAAAAAAAAAAAGTGTCAACAGGTGGAGGATATCTCCATACAGACCATTCCACCTTCATCGGGCTTACTATAACAGTGGAAGATGTGTTCCCGTTTAAGATGCGTGTGAGTATACAATATCCCTCTAAATTTCCCACAACCTGGGAATTACTCACTAACTAGTGCATGTGAAAACTGTACAATTCGGGCCACTCTGCTACAGTTTCAGCTTAGCTATTTCAGTCGGAATTTTTCCATTCAAATTTCAAGTCACCTCGGTGTCTGTTTAGTAAATATGCTCTCTTTACCATTCTCTGATTCTTCAAAGCAAGAATTACAGCTTACATTTCTATTACCATGTCATTATGCAGTCATTATGAAATACTCTCAATAAAAACAGAGGGGAAAAAAACAAAACAAGCAGTACAACAGAGATTGAGAATTCTGTAGTAAACTTGCGCTCACTATAGGATTTAATGTAAACATAAAATATTGGGCTTTGCACATGTGCGCCGACTGCTCATTTCACAGTACTGTACTATTGAAAATAAATAAATAAAAAAAGACTTGTTTTCCTATTAAATGCTTTATTGACATAATTTTGTATCAACCAGTAACTTGTTGGGGGAGATTGACAGCTTTTACCACTCTCCACCCACAGCGGCATTAGCGGTACAGAGTACAAATATATATATCAGAGTACATGCTACAATCTAATTATACAAAGATAACCCACAGGTCTAGATGGACGATCTCTAACCTTGACGTCCTAGAGGTTTGTCAACTACATTTCCCATGATGCTGAGCAAGCGGTTAGGAAAACGCAGTTGACAGCGATCTGGGTGCCAAGCTTGGCCACCGTTGTATAAACAATCGCATTGACTTTGCCAAGCAGATATTAAAGACCTTGTCTTGGGTTTTTGCAGCCTTCAGTGAGAAAGATAGCTTCACAATCTGAATGCTTTGGTAATATGTTGCACAGTGATCGATTGGTAACACAGCTATGAATAAGGATGTTAGATGATAAATGAAGGCGATGGATACTCAGCAGGCAGGTAGTGCGTGGGAATAGGCGCTGCGCGTTCTGTTAACCGCAGCAGAAACTACAGTCAACAACGGCATGAGCTACTGCGTTCTAACTCCTGTTTAAGCAGCTTTCTTGCCTTTCCTGCTTAGATCGAACCAGTGTTTACGGTAGAAATATAGAAAATCTGTACTTTGTGCTATTAGTTCAATATGTTTAGATTAAGTATATATATATATATATATATATATATATATATATATATATTCTTAAAGGGGAGTGAGAAGTGTATGTTTGCATTATAATGTAACCGAATATGCAAATTAATTATATTTCCAGCTTTTGGAGGGGAAACGTCACCCACAGCCTGCCCAGCACTACCACCCCCTCATCCAACCTATATTATCCCTTACTGACATGCACCACACAACCTGCTGTAAATCCCACCACCTTCTGGGTAACAGGTATAAATGGATTATGTGCTTACGAGGGTTTAAGAGCCGTCAAAGTTCATTTCCCATGATGCTTTGCTGCCCTAATGGATGGCTGAGTCTCACGTGAATTAAGTTCACAAATGTCTTAAAAGAGTGGAAATGTTTTACCATCACTGGACCATTCCATTAAGAGGGCGGAACCAATTCTGATATTTATATTTTTACTGTATCCCTCTGTACCTGAGACAAGCAGTCAATAGCTATAACAGGCACACTTCAGGGTGAGTGTTCCTAATCTATACACTACTAGCACAAAGCATTATACATTTCCTAAATCTACACCGTAAACAGATTGAACGACTGGTCCATAAGCATTAACAAGCACCAGTACGAAGGGATATAGGTAGCGGATGAAATAAAGAGGGCTTTTCAAGCCATATTTACTATGATGCATAATGTATGGTTATATGGATTTAATCTCCCCTTCCATTACTCAGAGCTAAGAAGGCCACGTAAGCAGCCACATGGTTTGCAGTGCAGCAATTCAGGTAGAACAGAGATACAGACTATGTGTACTATTAAAAAATGCAGAATGCACTTTTGTTTCCTGCTAGGACACCCAAACATTCTCTATTTTCAGCGGGAACTAAGTGCGCAAAAATATTACGGAGAATTTATAAAAACAAACAAAACATGCGCTCCACTGAAGGAGTAAACACACACACACAAATAAGCTGGGAAAGAGAAACATGAATTTAAAGCTCAGATCGCGGATTTCTTAGTATTTGCAGCAGAGTCGTAAGACTCGTTTTATATAGTGTTTTCACGACGACAAAACTTTATTTCACTGGTCTTAAGCCTTGGACCGCAGAAAATGCCCAGGATTATGGGAGTCTGGTGTAATGCCTCTAAAAAGCGTAGCGCTAAAGGAGAAATAAAACGCAATTCACAATGATAAAGGAATTTTCTAATTTCTGTTTCTTAAGCCAGGAATAGGGATTGTCAGCTAAACAGTGTTTACAGAGGAAATCATAAATAAAAGATCTTTATGTTGTTGCAACAGAACTTCAAGTGAAACCGAATTATAAATTGCTTGCTTTTTTCTGCCCTATACACAAGTTATCAATTTTACTAGTACAGTGGCATACTATGATGGCACCAAAGTAAATGTATCAATTTAAATAATAAAGGGACACTATATAGTCACCCACACTGCTTCATCGCATTGAAGTGGACTGGGTGCAGCGTCCCTGTCCCACTTAGCCCTGCAATGTAAATCATTGCAGTTTAGAGAAACTGCAATGATTACCTAGCAGGACTAAGACCGCCTCTAATGGCTGTTAATCAGACAGCCACTAGAGGCTCTTCCTGGATGCAAAGGGATGCAGGTCTTGTAAATGACGCTGGACGTCCTCACGCATCCAGAGTCTGAGAAATCCCCATAGGAAACCATTGAGGCAATGCTTTCCTATAGGGAGGGCCTAATGAACTCGAGGATGAGGCAGAGCAGTAAGTGACTAAAGGTTTTTTTTTTTTTTTTTTTTTTTAAAAACCCTTTACATGCTGGGAGGGAGGGGAGGACCTGAAAGCTCTATATTGTTAGGAATACAACTTTGTAGTATTGTAATATTTTGCAGCTGCATGGATCAAGAAAGAGGAGGGGAACATTTTTTTTTTACATAAATACAAATATTGAACTTGCTGATAGCATAATTAGGGACATTTTACATTAGTGTCTGTGAAACAATCTGCAAACACTGTTTAGGTGGTTATCAAGTTCTGGATATTAATGATGAAGAGTCGGTAAATGACTTGGTAATTGGACTGTTCAGATCAAACAACGATTTAGAAATAGGGTATGACCACAGGGAATTAGATGATAGAACTGTGCAAATCTGTGCATTAATGGGTGCCAGTATTGGGGGGGAAATAGATCACTGCCAATTAAAAATGTACTTAATGCGGTTTGACAAATGCTAGATTGAGAAAATATGGTCTAGCACAACTTAATTCAGTAGATTTAAATTGAAGCCATCCCACACATCAGTAAAGTTTCAGATCTACACCGACATGGCCTGACAAAGGCTCAGTGTAGAACCAAAAGGCTGCTGGTGTGAGGGATAGTTTCAATTAAAATCCGTGGATTATTGAATGAAAGTGCACTGGAACATCTTTTCTAAATCAGAATTACTGGACATTTCTGTGGGACTGAGGTCCGCTGCACTTATTTCAGTTGGTTTGGGGAGTCCTGGTGTTTCTTTTACAGTTTACAACTGCTGAAATAAAAATGAGTCTTCTTCCCAGACAGAGACCTTCAACAATAAGTGCATTCTATCATAAAAGGAAATGCTCTACTTTCTCCAAATATATGTGAAAAAGTTACACAACAACTCACTTCATAATTACACTGCTGTTTGTCTGGGTGAAGAAGAATTTACAATCTAGCCTCTCCAGAAAAAGCACTTCCTGGGCACCAGCCTGCAACAGGAAGCAGTGCCAGTGTAAACCCCTTTCCGTGAAGGCGTGTATACAGAGAATGATCCCTATATTAACAAAATCCTAAAATGCGAGAGGGGAAAAAAAATAAATTAAAAAATGAACATATATTGGGACTTCTGTTCGCATATATGAAAAAAAGCATCCTTTAATCTAGCAGGATTAATCGTATTTACATTGCGTAATTTAAAGGTTGTTTCAAATTTCAAGCTTTGCATCCCCAATTAGCTCTATTTTGTGACAAACTCCCCTTAAAATTAGGAATATGCAGTCTCCTTGATACATTGCATATAACAGAATATTCTTTTATTACACAGACTATCTGGGGTTCCCAAAAGGTGGATCACCAAATGTTCTAGAAATACAAGCTCCTTGATACTTTTCCATTCTAAAGGTTGGCAAAGCAAGACGGGAATTTAAACTCAACATCTGGGGATCTAACTTTGGGACACCCCTGGACTAAGGGCTTAAAATAATTTTCCAACACCAAACCAGTTGAGCCTAAACCTGATAATGCAACAATCCCACCACCAACAATTCCCTACACCTGGCAGAAACAGACAAAAATGAAATCTCCCACTTCCAAAGCAGAGGTAGGCAGAATTGTGTAACTGAAGCAATCTGCTTGACATTCCCTGTACTTGTGAAGGAGAGCAGGGCCAGGCTATTATGTACGAAATAAGGGGGAATGTACAGATTTTGGGAGGGGAGACACAGCATATGACTGGTGGGAAGTGGGGCGAGATTTTAGTGTCTTTATTTAATTCCCTTGCCAGCCACTGAGCTGTGAGATGAGTGCACTACAGGTTATGAAGGGTAAACAAAGTGAGGAGGTCAGGAGAGGCCTAGAATGGAGCGGTGTCCTGTGACTTGCTGTCTGAAGAGTGCAAATTAGCGCTGCCGTTTTCTTCTCTGCCAGTAGATACCCTGGTCTGCAAATAAAAAAAATAAAATAAAATAAACAAACATACAAGTTGGTCGCAATGAAAAGGCAGAAACAATATGCCTGGAAGATTTATAGCTTCACAAATAATCATTAGACTTTTCACTTAATAAGCAGTGATCAGTGTCATCATTACACAGACACACAGCACAATTCCCAATTAAGCCAATTAGAAACCCTGGTTATTTTTAGTGTGATACAAAGGGGATGGTGATATGGCCAAAGTTACCTTCATACTCCCGACGCGTTCCTCAAAAGATTTAAAAGTTGTTGAATTCCTATAATAAAAAATAAATAGTTTTATGGTTGATGTGCAAACAATAATTGGATGACCCTGTCCAGCAACCAACTTCTCCCCATTTAACAGGCTTTACAAAGTGAGCTTCAGGAGATGGGTTATCATAGAACACAGTATATATATAATAATAATAATAATAAAAAAAAAAAAAAAAAAATGATAACAATACAACCAATCCTGGCCTTGGACACACATCACATCTAGCTAGAACAGCTGTAGACGATGTAGCACAAACTTGTATCACTCATTAAAGAACCAGGACTCCTAAGCTGAGCAATAGGTAAACCACTGTACACTTTGGGTAGAATGGGGAAAATTAATCCTCTACATCTCAAATTCTACACAGCTGATGCGCTAAAGTAGACTACATTCTGCCTCCTTGATAAACAGGCTCTGTAAAATAACATGGGAATTGTTGAAGAAGCTTTAACTACTGGTATCTTTAACGCATCTCCCCAGTGGTGGGGAGACCTAACCCCCCCCAACCCAAATCTAGAGAACCATTGGATGGGGGCTATACATTACCTCATGGCCGGCATGCTTATGGAGTGACGGATGGAGTAACCGCTACTCGGAAGGCATGGGGAGCAAAAAGGCAGAGTTAGAAACCACAGAAACACCCATAACAAAATTACAAGCAAGAGGGACCAAGCAGCCAGGATCTGTGAGCTCCAGCTGAGAATTTACAAGGGACAGCCAATTCACAGAGCAAGCCGGGCTAATCTCTGAGCACAGACAGCCTGCAGGATCAAACAAATTGAAATCTGCAGCGGGATCCGCTAACTCCACACACTCTTTACGAAATTATTTCACAGAACTGGCTACTTGGTGCCAGGGACGGAATTAGACACAGATTAGCAGGTACCTTACACATCAACACATTAAAAAGCTTAACACAATTCACAGGATCAGGCATTGAAGAACAGAGACAGCTGGGCAAATATTGTACAGTGCAGAAACCATTGTACACAACAAGGTAAGAGAAACAGAACCACAAACAGGACAGAGAATCATTGGACAGACGTTCACATGGTAAGGATGTGTTTGTATGCTTTAACATGTATAAGGAGGAATTTACTTTGCGCAATTATCGAGACTGTCAGGGCAGATTACATCATATATCAAACTGCTGGTTCAGCAAGTCACATGATACTCGGAAGTAAAAGTCACATGACAAGCACTAGGAGATTAAGCCATGTGCCCAACGAAAAGCAGCCGTGTTACTCAAAACTCTTAGTGATGGGAATATATACAGCGTTTAACTAATTATCCAGTTACTCTGGGGTGTACACAGCACATTAAAGAAATAGTACATCTATAAATTCGTAGGTAATAGTCTATAAATGAACCAGCAGACTATTATAGAGGCCTATACATATGTAATATTTGGCGGGAGCTACAGGAATACAGGAAAGTTTGCGTGCTTTTTAGGAGAGTGAGACTCATGGGATATGTAGTCCGATAAAACCTGCAGTTCCAGAAGATGAGCTAACTCTATTCCAGGTCCGACTGCGGACGTGTTCAGTGCTGTACACCTCTTGTGTTTATCTATGAGCCAGTTACTTACAAACACAAAATGTGGCCAAATAAAAAAAAGTTTACTAAAGTGCTAATTCAAAGAGAATATTATATTTAAGGCCAAAATAGATTAACTAAAAACATCGCTCACATGGAGAATTTTTCCAATGTATCTATTTTGGCCTAAAATTTGTAAGATACACTGTGGTGAATAATACTGACTGAACTATTTGAACAGCCTTTCCTACATTCTAATTTGAGAAATAGTAATTTGGCAAAGAATGCTTTTTGGGAACTTTGGGGCTGGCACGGATTTATGGGAGTTTCAGTCCAACGACAGCTGAAGGAAGGACACAGAGTAAAGACAATACACTAAAAAAGTCAGTTGTGGCGAGCTGACAATATAGATGCAGGGCTGTCTGAAATAGAGTTAGAAGAAAAAAATGATTCCTCAATTTCTCCCTCTTGTCAGCTCGCCACAGCTTAACGTTTAGTAAATACACCCCATCGATATCTTGTTTCCTGGATCGAGCTGCCCCTTAGTAGACATACAGCACCCTGGAAAGAAAGTGATTATGTAATGTGGGGGAGAACGGAAAGGATAAGCGAACTGGAACCTCTTACCTAAAAGACTGAGAGAAAGGGAGAGCCCTGCAAGCAGGAGGAAAGGAGGGACACACAAGAATCAGTACAGGAATCTGTATCTCCCAGAGGAAACTGCAACTCCAACCCCACCAACATGCATCTCTAAACACGACACTCCTCACCACAAGGATAATTACTCCTGACCACCAATGATACTACTGCCCTGCTGCTAGGACCAGCAGACTTTGTATAAATCATCTTACTGACAGCTACCTAAAGTACTAACAGCAGCATTTTACACTGGGGAGGGTTATTCGGTTCATGGAACTAAAGTTAATAACTTGCAGTGAATAAAGTCACAGACAGCATTTAAAAAAAAACAATTCTATGGATGGTGTGCGCCAAACGAACATGATCCGGCCAACACTCCCTAATCCTGCGTACAAGTATCAACGATTTATTTAATACTTACTGGAGTAAGCATTGAAACCAGACATGGCACTGAACACTACATTTTGCCTCAATGTCTCACTGCACATGTTCTGCTCCTTTTACAATTAAACACAAAGACTTAACGTTCCTCACTTGGAGCATTTTCCCTGGCATCTGATCGGCAAATCCTGGTCTCTAAGCTCATGGCAATACATAGGCATTAGGCAGCGCCTTAGTAACACGGTATTTATTAAAACACACGAAGCATAACACTTGTGTGATTAAATGAGGTTAGTGGCGGGATCTCTTCACTCCCATGTTTCTTATTCATTGTTAACAGGGAATGGTGGGATAATGACAACTAACCATGTTTTTCTTCCAGTAGGGGAGACTATTCCCTTTAAAAGGAAAACACCAAGGCGGTGGAGATAGGCTGCATATTATTTTTATTTAATTATTTCAATTGTGTGTACCTTTTGATTTTCAGCCTCACATTTATCAAACGCCAATAAGATGATAACTGGTGGAATTTAATGAATGAGTGCACCTTGCAGTGGTCAGGAGTGCTACCCACCTTGCGGAAGCTTACCCTCCAAAGGCCTCCGCTGGAAGCAAGGCCATCCTAGACATGACCAGACTGTGTGCATCAGGGAGAGAGCAGAGCGCCGCAGCAATACACATGTTAGTATTATGCAAAGCGGGAGGCCTGGCTGGGAAAGTGCGCGCGCACAACTCTGTACGGTTATTTATGTGTCTAAAGCTGGTTTAAAAACTACAGAACTGCATCTTAGAGTAACCTTTTACAGTGTAGTGACAAAATTCATTGTTTAAAGGGCATCTCAGTTATAGTACTGGGGATGCCCCATTAAAATATTTATAGAACTGCTTCTAACAATCTGCCAGCCTGAGATGAAATGAGAAAAAAATACTTGCCCTCAAAAAGTGTAAGGTGCAGACATCATACAACACTGTTACCGTCTGTGAGAAAAAGATGGATTTCTATAACTCGTGCTGACAAATTTGCAGTGAAAAGGAGGCAGCATTCACATATAGAAATCTAATAAAATCATCCTCTGTCTTCCCATTCTTTGGGAGTTTATTCATTAAGCTGTGAATTGTAGCAAACGGACTTGCAAAATGTAGGCCATAAATACTAATATGGAAAAACCCTCCATCTCTGCTTGTAACCACTTTACTATATTAGCCTAAAATTTTGCTATTTAGTTTTAAATTTGCAAACAGCCCCCTTTATAACGAATAATTATATGATCTATAGAAAATTTCAAGTATTGTCATTACATGCAAAATCTTACATCACAGTTTAAAGGCACACTCCGCACACCTTAAGAATTTTAGCTTGCTGAAGTACTTTATGTGCAAAGACTGTCCTTTTTGATTTTACAAAGTGCAGATATCAATACAAACATTTATAAATGAATCTTGTTACACCCCAGTGGCTGTCAGTCACTTACTTCCTGGCAGTTTAGCTCAGAAGCAAAACTCAAGAGGCAGCAATTGCTCAAAGCACCTGCCTTGCAAAGACTTCTCATTGAGCTGCATTGGGAAGTCTGATTGGACAGCCACAGAAAGACAAGAGATCTGCAACTTTTGCTCGCTGTCCTTAGATATGCCCCAAATGAAAAAAATACATCAGTAAATGCATGCAGGTTTTCATTAGGTTAAAGGGAAACTCCAGTGCCAGGAAAACAATCTGTTTTCCTGGCACTGCAGGTCTCCTCTGCCTCCCACCCCCCAATCCTCTGTTGCTGAAGGGGTGAAAACCCCTTCAGTAACTTACCAGAGGCAGCGACAATGTCCCACGTCGCTGATTCTTCCTCCGCTCCTCCCTCTGATTGCGTCTGCCGGTGGGAGAGTGATCCTGCCCACCGGCCGAGGAGACCTAACGCGCATGTGCATTTGCGCTCCCCATAGGAAAGCACTGAAAATGCTTTCCAATGGGGAAATGAGTGACGCTGGAGGTCCTCACACAGCGTGAGGACGTCCAGCGACGCTCTAGCACGGAGTTTCTGTGCTGTGGACAAGGAAGTGCCCTCTAGTGGCAATAATTACAGTTGCAGGGTTAAGAGTAGTGTGAGTTGGCACCCAAACCACTCCAATGGGCAGAAGTGGTCTGGGTGCCTGGAGTGTCCCTTTAATACCAATGAAATCGTTAAATAAAATAAACACTTTTCCACTGGACTGTTCCTTTCAGTAAAGGTTGTGCCTGCCCCACGTCAGCTGGGATGAAATAATGGAGGCAGCAGCATATAAACCAGTGAAACAGGTTTGGGTGGTTACTTTAGGAAAACGAGCGGACCAAGGTTGAACAAAGTACTATTTAATGGCCTGCACATACAGTAAAATGAGGCAGATGGCTACTGAATGTTTCTATAAAATAAATTATTGAGATTCTAACACTGTTAACAGCCCACACAGATATCTACTTAGCACAGTAGAAGTCAGTACCATGTTCAGTAAGTAAAGGGATCACCACATCTTACCTCATGTCACCCAGTCTCCGTGTGATGGCAGTTCCCACGTTGGATAGTGCAGCAGATGTTTTCTGACCAGCCTGTGTCAGAGTCTCCTGTGTCTTCTTATAGCTAGGAAAGAAATATGAACATATACACATAATGTGGAGAAATGCACACTGTGAGCAGAGACATACAGCTTCCACTTGGATGGAGAGAGATACACACAATTAAAAGGAACATACTCCACATGTTCAAAGAGGGACATACAGACTGCACCCGGACAGACAATCAACGAATCAAACACAAAGAACCTAGGGGCATAAACTTAAAGTGACGTGCATTGCAGGTGGACATAGGGACACAAACAGAAAGAGAACATGCACAAAGAATACAGGCATAAAAGAGCATAAAGACTGCACACGTGAGTCATGGTACACACAACATAAAAAGGACAGAGGAACACAAATATAAAGGCACACAGGGCTGTTCTTGGACTGACAACACAGGATTAAAGAAATACTGACAGCACAGAAATAGGAAACATAAAATGAAAACAGACACTGCAGAAAAACAGGCATACAGACTGCAGAGAAAAGAGTGTTAAAATATCCAAAATAAGCGAGGAGTGAATACGAACTGTATATTTTATACAGATATTTCATTGCATTCAGGTTAAACAGGCAGAACAAGTCTAGCAGCAGTTATGTTAGTATGAGTTTAGAGTAATGGGAAGCTAGGACAGGAGTAGGCTGAGAGGCAGAAAAGAGAGAATGGTGGATTGTGTGTGTATAAACAAAGCCAAGTCCACACCTTCTAAACAACCCCCACCCCCTGCAAAGCATGCCCACTCACTGCACCCTGCAAACAAACCACAATAATACCACGCATTCCTTAAATATGCCACTCCCAAAGCGGCTATCTACAATATACAAAACCCTGCCCTATAGTCACACACACACACACGCTTCCCAACAGCCCTCTCCTCCCTGTCTGTGGTTTTGCTTTGGTTATATTTTACTTACAGATTTGGAATGTTCGACTGATTCAATTCCACAGCCGATACAGATTATCGGTCACCTTTTCGGGGCAACCGGTGTCTATATTCTCTACATTTAACTTTTTTTTAAAACAAAACAATTGTACATAAATCTGATATTAACAGAACATGCTGGCAGCAATAACACCCTGGTCATTCTCAGGCAGCCAGTAAATGTGGTAAATCACAGAGATACCAGCATGTACAGTGCTGTCACCGATAAGAGTGTGATTGCTTCATGTAATCACACCCCGGTCATTCTCAGGCAGCCAGTAAATGTGGGAATCACAAAAATCCCAGCATGTATAGTGCTGTTACGGGTATGAGTGTGAATGCTGACAGCAGTCATTCTCCTATCAGTCTTCCAGCCCAGTACGTTACAGTATATTATTCACAGTCCCACCTCTCTGACTTCAGCTAAGCTCCGTATGCCAGGGCTCACAGGGAGCGGTGACATGAGGTCACAATGTGACGCTTGATTGGCTAGCAGCTGGAATTTCTTGATGTGGAAGATGGCATGTGGTGACTGCCATCTATCAGAAATATCAGTAAATTACAAGGCCGATCCTGATAATCAGAAATATGCCCAATATCAGCGGGACAGATAATCGATCCATCTCTATTTTGCACTACCACTTTATAAAGGGAGAGGGGGTTCTGGAAAAATAGCAATTTAAGATTGATAGAGATTTCTGAGCCCCATAGAAATTGTAGTTGAACAAATTCTTCGGTGCCATGACTAGCCATTAATGGTCTGGATCTTTAAAGGGAAACTATAGTGCCAGGAAAACAAAGCTGTTTTCCTGGCACTATAGCTCTCTATAGTGCCCCACTCCCCCTCTGTGGTGCAAAAGTGGTTAAAAACCCCTCCATCACTTACTTGACTCCATTTAGGCTCCACCTCTGCTCCTATTCTGCCGACTTCAGCCGGCGGGGGAGACCCAATACTCGCTTGCATTAGTACTTCCCCCATAGGGTTTTGGGTGATTCTAGATGTCCTCATACATAAACGTGAGGACATCCAGCGTCAGTTAGGTGGCTAAAAGTCTGGTAGAAAGCCACAAGAGGTGGAGTTAACCTGGCAATGTAATTATTGCAGTTTAACAAAAACTGTAATAATTACCAATGCAGGGCTAAGGGACCCAGGACTATGAACCCAGACCACATCAATGAGCTGAAGTGGTCTGGGTGCCTGTAGTGTCCCTTTTTCGTAATGAGTATGTATCTCACATGCAACCACATTCCTAAAGTCTCCAAGTTTATCCATGGCTTAAGTTACACCACATCCTCACAGACAACCCCCGCCCCTCAGTTAGTAGGCAGCATTGGTATGACCATGACTCACACATCAGACTGGGTCACTTTCTCGTTCCATTCTCCAATTTTCTCTGAGGTTTTTACATAACTGAAAACAAAAAGGGACATGTGTTGAGGACAGCCTTCTCCAAAACGCAATCTGTCGTAGAATAACAGCTCTCTAGCACCCTGAGATAGCCCAATAAACGTACACTATGAATATCTTTTTGTGTGGCTTTGCAGAAACAATTCATATGAATTACTAGGATGGCATATCTCACCAGTCAAGCTCTACAGAGTTGAAGTTATCACCACAATCAATGTTGGGGCTGTGTGGTTAAAATTCTCCATTTGTTATGGTCATGTCCCAAGGTGGTGAAGTTCTGGCAGGAAGTGAGGGACCTAATCTGGAAAGGACTTTTCTTTTGGATGAGGCCAGTTATGGGGTTAACTGCAGCAGAAAGCAATTTAACACGGTGCTTTTAACTGGGAAAAGACATCCAGGAAAAAAAAGGACCAAACCAGTCTTATGAGTCACTACATAAAAATTGATTTTCACTACAGATGGAAGTTGGGGTTAAAGGAGATGATCAGGTGGTACATGTAGCAAGATTTTGCTCGCTGGGATTGATCTGTTGACAACTATGCCATGGTATAACTATTGTTGGCATGGTAGTGATGGTAACATTGTCATCTAACATGGACTTTTGTGTGGAGAGAATGGCACCACTATATCCGTTAGGTCTAGGGGGGTAACTCACGCATTAGACATTTGAACTTCTTGCAGGCTCTTGGAAAGGTTCATCTTGAGCTGGTTAAGAGGAGTCTGTCCCAGCTTTCTCTTGATTTCTGCGGCATGACGTTCCTTAGCAGAGAGAACCTGGCGTAGTGTGAGGATTTCCTCTTCTACCTGACATACAAACAGGAGAGATTACAGATATGCGCAAAAGAATATCCAGATTCCCATCCTCACAATGCAGAAATTTAGTAGGGTGAATGGTGCTGACCTTAAGAACACGTAAATATTATTAATGCCATTAGATATGCTTCATTATACAGGCCTTCTATGGTTTAGATTTACAATGTTACATTACTAATATAGAAAGCACTTGGCACCCTGAGTATGCTTTCAATGTAGAAATCCACAAAGGTTTCTGCATAACAGACAAAATTAGGCTCAAACGGTAAGACCTTGCAACAAATTCTATAGAATGGAAGGTAAGACACAGAAAAAATAATGGAAACCGGAAGAGTGAATGAGTTCAGAAAAAGGGGGAGGGGGTAAAAAGGTACATGGATGGCAGTTAAAGGGGATTGGGGAAAGAAGAGAAAGCCATTAGGTGAGAACAAAGGAGAGATGGATGCTACCAGTATTAATGGGTGAGATGACTCAGATATTCTTTCTATTTTAATCTCCGTGTTTGCATTAAACATTGCCAGTGTCTGATCTTTCCAATTTATGGACATGAAGACTACAGAAAGTTCAATCAGTGAAATGTCATTGGCCTTGTAGAGGGTAATCACAGCTCACCTCTGGTGTCAAAATCTATTAAATCATTGCAGAAAACACACATCTAAATATCTTTTGCACTTTCCCAAGGAATCCAGTAGTTTGACGTTCAGAATTGCATGCAATATAAAATTATTACCCAACATATATTACATTTGGAGAACAAGAAACCTTAAATTATGCCCTAAGCAGTTCCCTACTTATGCCCTGTATAAACTCAGAGACATTCTAACAATGTTATCGAACTGGTAGCAACAAGAAACAGTATAATGTTAAAAAAGAAGCAATAATGCAAATAAACAAAATTCAGACTATTAAGGAGCGATAAGACAATATGTCAGTCACTAAAGAATCTAAACTGGTGTGTGGTCTGTAATATCTAAATCAGTTCGACTACTAAACAAACCAGAATATAGAAACCTCTGATACAATTTCTGATGTTGTTGCATGCGTGCCACGACCAGCTGGTGGCAGTATATTCACAGACAGAAAGAGAGGGAGCGCATAATAAAAAACAAAACTGTTATCAGAGGAACATGACTCATCTCTAAGAGCCACACAGTAGGAACACTAGCGATTTGAAGATGGTGCGTGTAGGACACATGATATAATCCTGGGTCTGTCTCCGATCAGGAAATGTGGTCTCATCAGGAGGGACCAGTTTGTGAGCACTTGTTCTGGCCTGCTGGTCACCTTATGAGACTCCGCACCTGTCTGTGGATAGCACCATTTAGCCACCAAATTGCATTTAACCTCACACAAATTTATAGTTATAAGCATAAATTTAGCACTAACTAAAAACCATATAAAATGAATTACAAGTGATATTTTTAGACTTCTCTTGAAGATTTTTTTTCTGTTGCGGCTATGCCACGTGCTCATCTACACATTGTCTAAGCCAAACCACTATTTAAACTAAACGTATAAAGAGTTAGTTAAAATAAACTTATTGATGTACAGTAGATGCCAAGAAATCAAACTCTTAAAGAGACAAAATATATTAACCCCCCCCCCCACCAAATAATTTTTACAAAATGGCTTCCACTGGCTCAAACTCACACATGCCAAATGCAAAGTAATGTGGGGTTAGTCAAACTGAAAATTTAAAAAAAGAGAAATGTAAAAATAATAAGTACATTTTAGAAATGCATATTTTAGGCCATGGTAACCGAAATATGTATATTTTTCACAAACTAGTCTATTTTTCCATCTGGGCAACAGATGCATTGGCCTGAAATTTGCTACTTCGCCATTAATTCCAAAACAAACCTATCTGTTTTGCTGTATGCCACACAAGGCCTTTATGGATGGGCAGAATCACCCGTTGCCACTCAAATCACAGCGACCACCTTGGTGTAGAATCTCAAGCGCAATATATAGAATGTTTACCTGTCCCTGCACTGACCCACACCTTCCACTCTTTCCGTATCTCTCTGGAGCGGCACTATTCGTAGGAAATACTAAACCCCATTCTCTCAGAATTCCCCAGGGTTTCCAGACATTTAAAAAAAAAAAAAAAAAAATCCCCCAAATCTCACTTCTTTTGAGAAATGATCAGTGAAATGTTATCTTCCTACACCAAGTCTACCCATTCTTATCTCATCCAACTTTCCTTCCCGTGGTCTGAATTAACCCCTTAAGGACAACACTTCACAAGCCTGTCTTGCACTTAAGGACACAAGCTATTTTTGCTTTTTTATTTTTTTGTATTGTTTGTGTTGAACTGCAGTTTGCATTTTTCTCATATATTGCAACAACACATATTATATACAATTGTTAATAGTTACAGGTTACAAAATACAAAGCGTAAAAAAAAAAAATTTTCAATGTGAAACAATTTTATAAGCTGGTATGTTTGTCTAGTAAACTTAATAGCCATCACATAAAACAAAATTGCCACGCAAAAGTGTGTGTATAATTATTAATAAATTATTATGCACACACACACACTCACATCAGAGGCTTTATCGAAGGGTAATTATGACACTTTTTACGCAGCCATTTCACTGCCAATCTATTTTGATGGGTCTGTGTTCCATTCTGGAGCCTTTTAGCAGGTTGGTAATTCAAACTACCCCACAAAAGGCCTAGCATTTCTTAAAGAAGATCCACCAGGGTACGTGTTGAAAGGGAAAGTTTTAGACACATCAATTTCATATTTTTTTTCAACAAAGTTGATGCTTTGCCTGTGCCTCATTTTAGAGCATATTAGCAGCTCATGATTGCAAATTACCTCTCAATTGCCACATCTATTTATAAAGGAACACGATAGGATAAGGAACACAAACGCCACCATAGTCAATCAGGATCTCCTCATAGAGATGCTGAATCGCAGTGCTGCACACTGCAGCACTGACCTAGGAAGCTCCTCTAGTGGCCGTCTGAGGAGTGGAGGAGTCATTCTCCCGCCAAGTCAATCTTAGATTTGAAAATTAATGACAGACTGCTCACTTGGCTCAGCTGGCCCTAACCTCCACAGCCTATAATTGCTTTAAAATTTTGAATGGATATGCACAAATAATGGGCGATAGACAAGCTTCTTGCACCATAACCACTACTACATACTGTACTGGTTATGGAGCTTAGTGTGCCCCTCTCTAACCCTCAATCCACAAGAAAAATCTAAACATTTCAATATTTTTCAAATCCATCAAGAAGCATTATTATGAAAAATAAGTCCATTGCTCTAATTTCTTACACTCAAAAGGCTAAATGTTATGGAATTGCAAATTTAATAATTACAATCTATAAAATAATCAATGATTAGTTGTGTTTATATGAGAGGTGATGACAGCTTGTACATATATGGCTGTGGAGCATCCCTGTTTATTCACATCTTTGTAAAGCAGATCTAAGGATTGAGTACCCACCTTAGCAAGTTCAGAACGCAATTCTTCTGCCTCCGCCTCGGTCAGGCCTTCTGGTAGCACAGCCCCAGCAGCGTCGGCCGGCGCACATACCCCTCCTGGTCCTACTGGAACCTCGGTCATGTTGTCTGGCAGCAAACCTTTGTTGGGAGAGTTAAGGTTGATATCTGTCCGGAAGGAGAAGCAGAGTCAGGGAGGGGAGCAAGCAAGCAGGGACGGAAGCGGGCCACAGAGATAAGCGACGGAAGATAACAGACGTGAAGACGCACTTGGGAAGAAAGCAAGAGAGTAAAAAGCTTACAATAGAGGATTAAGTCAAGGAAGGCATGTAAAGGGGAACATATACTCAGAAAGCACCTTCCAAAAACAGAAATTAGCGCATGCATCAGGAAGGATGTCATAGTAAGAGATTTATGATCAGATCATTAAAACATGAATTCACATACAACAGCATGCAATGGAAGACACATCAGACAGCATAATAGGACAAGGGGGACTTAAATAGCACGGTGGAGGGAGATAAAATTGGCAAAGAAAATAGCCATGCGATGGGGATACAACGGGCATGGGACACAGTATAGCAACAGGCATACAAGTGACAGTATCAATCAACAGGGATACAGCTGGCACAAGTCCCAGTAATATAGATCTGAGCATTGTGTAGGTAAACTGTGTTATGTGACTTGGCCGGTCCCATAAGCAACAATGACAGAAAAAGAATTAAGTGAATGACAGCAGCGACACCAATGTCTTTTGGATACGTACAACAAGCACGTCATCAAAGTTCATGAACTTCATTACGTATCTCATAATGTCGGACTAATAGAGATGGGATGCTTCAATAGAATATTAATCAAGCAAAGAACAGGTCTGGGTTAATAGGGGCCATAGTTTTCCAATGACGAAGGAAGTAATTTCTAGATAATGAGATTTACACGGTTAAAGAAAAAGTAAAAATGTTTAGTAGAAACCGACATTCTATTTGCTTGAGATTTGCTGCACTTTAATCACAATAATTCCCCGTCTGGCTCTGGGGTTTACAGAAGTTTCAGCATCAAAGGGGATATTTGACAAGCAACGTTATCGTGGGCCTTGTTATTTAACAGGGAAATGAAACTAAGGAAGGAAAGAGATACTGACATCCCGGCTATGCTGTCTTCCCTACCCTGTAAGAGGCTCCCATCTCCACCCCATTTTTGGACATAAACCATAATTGGCTTTATTTAGAAGAACCCGAGAACCTTAAAAGGACACCGTAGGCATCCAGACCATTTCAGCTAATTGAAGCGGTCTGGGGCACTGTCCCTTTTTCACTTAGTGCTGCAATGTAAAACACTGCAATTCCATAGAAACAGCAATGTTTACATTGCAGCTCTAAGTCTGCCCGCAGTGGCCGTCTACCAGACAGCCACTAGAGGGCTTCCTGAATTGAAACAGACCTTTGGTCCGGTATCTGACGCTGGACGTCCTCACGCTCTGCATCCGGACCTCCAGCATCAGATTTTTTCCCCCATTAGAAAAAAATTAATTCAATGCTTACCTATGGGGAGGTCTAAAGTGCGTGCTGTGCATTAGACCCTGCTCGTCGCGGGATGGAGGAGGAGCATCAACCCAGCACTCACGGACATCAGCGCTAGGAAAAGGAAAGTAATGCATTTCTTTTCCAGCGTGGTGGGGGCAAGGGGGAGGGGGTAGCAATAGAGCCAGGAATACAACTTCGTATTCCTGGCACTACAGTATCTCTTTAACCACTACATTGGCGTGTAGCAGCTATGCTGCCAGGAGTGCCATGGCAACCCCCCAATTGACAAGGAGTAGAACCTGACATTTGACAGAGTCAAACTGTTTGAGATCGATTTGAATTCTTAGCTGGAGTCTACTGGATGCTGCTCCCTCTCTTCACTACAAGTCAGTGTGTCAGGCAGGGAGCAGGGCAAAGCATACCAGAGGTAAGAAGTCAAACACTTTGAGAAAGTCTGTAATTTGGCGAAACGCGTCAAGTGTATTTTATTATGTAAAAAAAAAAAAAGGAGTATACTTTTTATTTTATTTTTTATCTACTTCGGACCCTCCTGACTGCTTTTGGAAGATTTTACTCAAGAGGACTCCAGAAACATCCTTGGTGGTAATTATACCTCCTACGTTATCTGGATTGAGCAAACCAACTATTTGCTCTCCTTTTGTGAGTGCCTCTTTCTTTTAATACTGTTCTTATCAGTGAGCACTATTGGCCGTTTTTACATTTCTTTTATGCTACATTTGCATCGGTGAGCTGCTACTACCCACGACACAGTTCTTCCTGTAAAGATTGTGCTGCACCACTATATTTATGGCGAGGATCATACAACCCTAGCGCTACTATTTGGAGCTGATCAGAAGCTCAAAAAAAAAAAAAAAAAAAATCAAAGTGCATTTCAATACATTCCTCTCCAAATATAAGAACTTATTATACTATATTGTGTCTCCTTTCCTCTTTTATATGCACTGAGTACAATCTGGACCAGAAGACATCCACACAGAGCTGCGACCCTTTTATCATCTTGCATCTTACCCACTGCCAGAAAGAATGGACTCTGGCTTGGGTTGCCCTAGCTACCTACTAACATTGTCAGAAGCGCTAGAAATCCTTTTTATTTATTGCAAGAAGTTAAATGGTTCCAGACGTTTTAATTCCATATAAAGAAGGGTTGCCAGGGCACTTCTGGACCAATATCCACCATAGTGTGCTGCAGTGGTTTTGGTGCATGGCGTGTTTCTTTAAATAGCTCATTTGTATTGTAGTGTAAAATGTCAACTATACGTATTGAAGTGACATCATTCGTTACCTAGTAAAGCACTAGTTTAGGGTGAGTGTTGTGTTTCAATGGGATAGTGCTCCTGGCTGAGTTTCCAAACGTGACAGGGCCATTTCTATTACTCGTCAATCTTCACTTAAAAGGTTCATTTAAAGTGAATATCAAATGTTTTTTTGGAATAGCCGTACTAAAAACAAAGCTGGGCTGATCACTAGTCATTGGAGAGGGACAATTAAATCAGGCTGAGCAGAAATTCACCTCTGGCGAGTATGCCATGGACTCGTCAAACTTGTAGTGAAAAGTAACCCAAGGCCTGGATAGTACCTTTGGACTTACATTTTTAGCCCGGGATACAGTCATGGCTCCTGATGACAAACTTTCACAAGGGCGATATATTTATTTTTGCAATTACCACTGTGCATATGTGTCTCTACTCCAGCCATGACTTCCACTGTATCTCTGCTTGAGTCAGTGCACTGACACCAGATCGCAATAAGGAATGAGTCACTAGCATAACTTTATCTAGAAGCACCATGGCAGTAAATGAAATTGCTACATTTACCTTTAGCAGTGTCCCAAAGAGACAGGGCCTTGAAATCACCATGACAGTGCCAAATGTTATAATAGAATGGAGCAAGTGACCCCCAACTGATTAAGGTCTGTGCGATTGCACATCCCAACTGCTGGAGGAGACCAGTGAATCTGACAGTGCGAAAGCCCCCCAATTGTTAAGTCTAATGTCTAAAGTGATGCTGCTCTCAATGACCGCCCCCAGACTGTCAGCTGTCACTGAACCCTCCTCCCCAGACTGACACAGCTCTCACTGACCCCCCAGACTGACACAGCTCTCACTGACCCCCCCACCAGAATGACACAGTTCTCACTGACCCTCCTGTAGACTGACACAGCTCCACTGACCCTCCCAGACTGGACACAGCTCTCACTGACCCTCCTAGACTGACACAGCTCACTGACCCCCCCCAGACTGACTCTCACCGGCATACTGACCCCCTCCCCAGACTGACACAGCCTCTCACTGACCCCTCCCCAGACTGACACAGCTCTCACTGACCCCCACTGTGAATGACACAGTTCTCACTGACCCTCCCAGACTGACACAGCTCTCACTGACCCCCCAGACTGACACAGCTCTCACTGACCCTCCCCAGACTGACACACAGCTCTCACTGACCCTCCCCAGACTGACACAGCTCTCACTGACCCCCCAGACTGACACACCTCACTGACCCTCCCCCAGACTGACACAGCTCTCACTGACCCCTCCCCAGACTGACACAGCTCTCACTGACCCTCCCCAGATTGACACAGCTCTCACTGACCCCCCCCCCTCCTGAAGAATGACACAGTTCTCACTGACCTCCCCAGACTGACACAGCTCTCACTGACCCCCAGACTGACAGCTCTCACTGACCCTCCCCAGACTGACACACAGCTCTCACTGACCCTCCCCAGACTGACACAGCTCACTGACCCTCTAGACTGAGCTCACTGACCTCCCCAGATTGACACAGCTCTCACTGACCCTCCCTGACACACAGCTCTCACTGACCCTGACTGACACAGCTCTCACTGACTGGACTCTCACTGACCCCCAGTCTGACACAGCCTCAGACCCCCAGTCTGACACACAGCTCACTGACCCCCAGTCTGACACAGCTCTCACTGACTCCCATTAATTGAAGCCTTGCTGTGACAGCTCTCCCTATACAGAGCTCGATGTCCGTCATGGCGGCTGATTGCCCAGTGTGTCCCAAGGTGACTGTTTTAACGCCCCCCATACTGAATGTAACCCGTTACCCTCCGGGCGTGTCCCCCTCTCACCCTGCCCGCCGGGCTCCATGTCTCTGCTGACCGGAAGTTAATCGCTGACTGTGGGCGGGGCCTCTTCCCCCAGAACATAACAGCAGCTGAGCTGGGAGTTACTGTCGCGAGCCTATGACGCAACGTCGAGTTCCAACGTCGAGTTCTAAACGAATGAGCCCGAGCACTGCAGAGCTGCCTTAATGCCGCCATTTTGGTGGAGATATTAGTTTAGGTGCCATGGATTCAATGACTCCAGTAAAATGTCGGTCTCTACTCTATATATCACTCATTACATGGGTTTATTCACTCAACAGTGAATGGGAAAACTAGTCATTGCAGTATTAAACCTATGATAGTCAAATTAAAGCTGTATTGGAGTTTTTGTTTTCCTTTAAAAAAAAAAAAAATGTAAAAAAAAAAGTCTTGCCACTGTAAATTTAAAGGTCCACTAAAGTCACCCAGGCCACATTATGTCAATAAAGTGGTCTGGGGGCAGTATAACAGACTGTAAGCTCATTTGAGCAGGGTCCTCTTCAACCTATCGTTCCTGTAAGTTGTCTTGTAATTGTCCTATTTATAGTTAAATCCCCCCTCTCTTAATATTGTAAAGTGCTATGGAATCTGTTGGCGCTATATAAATGGCGATAATAATAATAATAACCATTCATGGTAAAACACTGCCATTTTGCAGAAATTTGATGGGTTAAAGGGATATTGTAGTGCTAGGAATACAAAGCTGTATTCCCGTCACTGCCGATCCCTCTTTCTCCTCCCTCCCTCGTGTGCCCCCTCCCCGGTAAATAATGGGTTAAAAACCCTTTATTTACTTACCTTATCCCAGCGCAGATGTAGCCCCACCCCTCCTCCGTCCCGCGACAAACAGGGTCTCTGGAAGTGCAGTGTTTTACATTGCAGCACTAGGTGAGGGACAATGAGCTGAAGTGGTCTGGGTGCCTACAGTGTCCCTTTAAACACACCTGTAATGGCTGTCACATGGGCAAGAGGTGCTTCCATTGCACTGACCATGGAAAACTCAGTCACATGGCCTTGCAGCCCCCATAGGAAAACATTGATTCAATACTTTCTCATGGGGAAACTTTGGTGTGCGCCGCGCATGCGCATCAGGTCCCCCAATGTTCTTCTATACAGGGGTGTCCAGGCAGACCACTAGATGTTGTAGAACTACAACTCCCATGATGCCATGCGTGCCTTTAAACTAAGGAAGCTGTAGTTTTAAAACATTTGGGGATCTACCTTTTGGGCACCCCTACTCTATAGGAAGCATTAGATTGGACCACGCCAGCAGAGGCCATGCATCAACCATGATGTCGGCCTCGGCACTGGAAAAAGGGGAGTATAAATTGGGACAGGGACACTAAAGCAGATTTGTATCCACAACGCTCAATTCACCACAATATGTAGTAGACTTTTGCACAAAGGAATTTCAGCTGCTACAAATTAATTAAATGTCTTTTAATCTGCAAATTTACCTATGGAGTAGGTAACTAAATAAGGTAAATCTTTGATAAATCGATTGGTTCAGCTGAATTTCATATGTGCATAAATCTAAAGTTTAATTTGGTGTGTTATTTTGCATAATTGAAATAATATCTTGTTTTTAACTACCTTTTCATTTTTTTTTTTTTTTTTTTTTTTTTATTCTTTATTTTAGTCGTGCAAAGAGTGAACATATTAAGCATGCAGCGCCACAACAGCGGGCAAACAATGCAGTTTGATACATGTGGTAACAGTAACATGGCGTTGAAAGTGCGTGCACAAGTTTTGTTTTATGTGTGCTTCATGCTGTACAGTTAAGTTAAGTTAGATAACAAATGGTGTGTCGTCGTTTTGAACATAATACTAGACAGGAATATAAGTAGAATAAGTGAGTATGTCATCAGAGTAAGTGAGACCTTCAACGTTTAACTATGCTTAATTTACTAAGCTAGTGTACAATTTGTGTAGGCATTATAATCAGGCTTATTGAATTATGTATGGGATTAACAACATGCCGTATATACCTCAATGAGCTACATTAACTAACATTGAAATGTGATGCAGTCATATGCTTAAAGAGTATGCTCAAGTTAGGTCTCTGAGCCTAGGCTAGCAGGTGATTCAAATGTCCCAGGAGGCTCCCTCTCAGATCAAGTCCTTGAAGCAGGGAGGCTACTATGACAAAACTATAAAGCAAAGTTAAGATTTGGGTCATCCTTATGCGTTGTGTGTTTGAGAGGGGCACATACATTTAAGAGGAAGTCCCAGCACCCCTGGCTCCTGGTCTGTTTTCAGCCGACTCCCGTCATGGGTATCTCGCTGTTGGGCAGCTTAGTGAAGTATTTCAAGCCTCCAGGCTCCGGTCTCGTCTTGTGGGGCCGGACGGACCCCCGGATGTTGACTGCCAGGAGAACAGGAGACCCTCGACGAGGCGCAAATGTATGTCTCATGCGTGACTGACTTTGGTTGTGCCGCTGCTTATGCCGGGGTGATGTTTTGGGCTTGGTCTGCCTTCTCCATGGGATCCTCTTCCCTGTGGGGGCCCCGGGTGTTTTCCTCGTTCGTGACATGCGTCGTGTAGGTGAGGGGCCGCTTGCCTGTGGTGGGGCTTGTTGCAGTGCCCGTCTCTCCAGCTTATGCCAGAATGCCTCCAGGATAGCCTCTAGCTTCGTTTGGAGCGTGGTCTCTGCATTGTGAGCGTGGGTGCAAGGGAGGCACGAGGTGTCCGCCGTTAGGAATGAGTCGGTAGTAATGTTATTCGCTTGCCTGCTAGACTTCACCTTCACCTCTCCTCTACTGGGTGTAGCTCTCCTGGGTTGGACCGTGTTCACCCCCAACAGTCCCAGGGGGGGGTAACGGGATGCCTGCCCCGCCATTGCAGTCGCTGGGTAGCCCCGGAATGGGAGAGCGGCCGCCTCCCCCGCCCGGTGCACACAAGGCCGCATGCTGTCGCAAGTATGGCTGCTCAGTTTTCATTGGGTCACCGACCCCTACTACCTTGCCCTGCAATGTCAGGCTTCGGTGTGGGCTCAAGGTGGTCCCGAAATTAGTCTGAATGAGGCCGTGTTTTGCCTTCGATACCAGGATTGTGGAGGAGCTCCTGTGAAACACTTCTGTCCTCCATGACAGTTAGGCCCCGCCCCCACCTTTTCATTTTTAAATGGCTCTTAGTAGGTAACAAAGTCACCTAAAATTATCTAAAAATCATACCCTATGCAATGCCCTGGCATGAAGCACCATGCATTGTCCAGGGTTACTCAGTAAAGTGAATTGTCAAGAATTCAATGTGAACTCTACGCCAATTGCGAATTTTAGGCCACAATAATTAAACTAGAAAAAAAACAAGCTCCTTTGTTGTAGCAAAGGGGTGTTGAGGCTTTTCCCAACCAGCCCAGTAAGAAAGATTTGTATACAGGGCTGGATTTTTACTACGCTGACAAAGCAATAGGTCTGTCTTAATCCACTCCCAGATCCAATAAATCATGAATCTGCGTGTCTTTAAAAACCTGCCCAAAATGACATTCTTTATTTAACACAAGTAGAGCAAAGTCCTCCTAAGAAACACAATGTTGGATGATTAACCGAAATGACTCTAAAACTCTAGACATGTAACCATGGCCTCCCACACCTAACCTTACTCTCTCACACTCCTAATCGACACAGGATAGATGTCTGAAGACAATGAAAGTATTGACAATTCATTAAAAAACTGGTTTTAAAAACTTTATAGGATTTGGCCCAAGACAATGCTGCATCCTGACAGTATCAGAATTAAAACAATGTAATAAACAATTTTTCATATTTTTAGATGATTATTTATTGAAACTATCATTTGATACAGTTCCTATTGACCTCACCCCAACTTAAACTACACCCTTTGTTAAAGGGACACTATAGTCACCTGAACAACTTTAGCTTAATGAAGCAGTTTTGGTGTATATAACTTGCCCCTGCAGCCTCACTGCTCAATCCTCTGCCATTTAGGAGTTAAATCCCTTTGTTTACGAACCCTAGTCACACCTCCCTGCATGTGACTTGCACAGCCTTCCATAAACACTTCCTGTAAAGAGAGCCCTATTTAGGCTTTCTTTATTGCAAGTTCTGTTTAATTAAGATTTTCTTATCCCCTGCTATGTTAATAGCTTGCTAGACCCTGCAAGAGCCTCCTGTATGTGATTAAAGTTCAATTTAGAGATTGTGATACAATTATTTAAGGTAAATTACATCTGTTTGAAAGTGAAACCAGTTTTTTTTTCAATGCAGGCTCTGTCAATCATAGCCAGGGGAGGTGTGGCTAGGGCTGCATAAACAGAAACAAAGTGATTTAACTCCTAAATGACAGTGAATTGAGCAGTGAAATCGCAGGGGAATGATCTATACACTAAAACTGCTTTATTTAGCTAAAGTAATTTAGGTGACTATAGTGTTCCTTTAAGTTTTGTCAAGCATAGGAAAAATACATTTAGTTTGCCATATGTGTTTTAACAAAAATGAAAGAGAAATGAAGACCGGAATGAGACACAGGAAGCAAAGAAGAATCTATTGAGGAAAGGTAAGTATTCCCCAACCATTACTTATTTAATAAAAAAAAAACTCCTTCGTTGTTGGAAGTGTTAGCTACTATGGGGCTATTTATTTGCATGTAGTTAATTCTTAAAAAAACCAAAAAAAACAAAAATCCCACCATCTGATGTCATGCAAACAGATTCCTCCAAACCATTACACTTTGGGTGTAACAATCCGGAAACTGATGTCCTGTCCCTCCTTCCCTGCTTTGGGCTCTGGTGTTCTGCTTTTGGGGATCAGAGACCAGCCCCCCAGAAAGCATAACGTGACTACATCTTTATATACCCTTGTGTTGTGCAAACTGCACTGTGCATTCAGCTCACGTGAGACTGCTTCAAAAGATCTCCGCGCATGCGCAGTGTTGAGTGATGCTGGCCAGCTCTAGCATGCATTCAGAACAGCTTGACACCCCTTCCTCTCCCCTTATTTTATCACCAGTGACAAGAAATATGTTACTGACATGACATCCCTCACTGACCCATATACCTCTGTATAATTTTCATATATTTTTTTTTAATGTATAATTTTTTATTATTATTTTATTATTTATATAGCACCAACAAATTCCGTAGCGCTGTACAATGGGATTACTGTTAATGTTTTATGCATATATATATAATATTGGGATACAGAAGAGAGAAGTGGGAAAAAGGGAACAGTACATAATTTAGTCTATAATTACACACTATTAAAAACAATATTATTCACATAACAATATGCGTTAATTCATGTAAGACAATTGATTTTAACAATATTCTTCAAATTCTTTTCCTTTCTCTATTTTTTTTAAATCAATATTCATTTGCTTAAAGTTAAGAGAAACCACTGAAAACTATCACTTCCTCTCGGTCCAAATCAAAAAAGTAATCTACGTTCTTATAAAGGATTGTATCAGGGAGGTGTGGGGAATGGGGGATAGAACAACAGCCTTTTGAGCTAAATCTCTTTTGAGTCTAGCTCTCATTATAGTCTTTAAACGTTAGGAAAAGCATAAAGGGGAGAAAAATATAATAGCACCTTAAACATATCTATCTCTTATTTCTAATCATTTATTCCACCTTTTTTTGTATAAAGTTTCCTGTCCTTTCAAACGACCAGCCATCATTTCATAAATACAAGAGGAGTCTAGTCTTATCATTATCTCTGACAATAAAGGAGTCTGTATTTTTTTCCAGCTGTATGCAATAGTTTGCTATCAAACTGTGAATAATAATATAAATAACCTCTTCTGGGAGCGGTATAAAAAACATATGTAATAAAAAAAAAACATTCGGGTTGGGTAGGTATCACTGCTTTCAAATCATTTTGAAAAAACCTTCCCAATTCTTTCCAAAGCTTAGCAATACCTGGACAAAATATATGATATAGAGTGCCCTCCTGTTTAAGGCAGCGCCAACATAAATTTGATGCCGCTGCGTAATTTTCATATATCTTGATGTTGAGCAATATTCAAAAACGTCCGCCCTTGTGGCCTGGAGGTTTAGTGCAGCGAGCACACTGCATGAGCAGTACTGTGCATCACAGAGGAACCATCACAACTTACACAGTTATTTACCAACGTGAGAATTCAAAGTGAATTTTAATTCTAACATCAGAAAAACCAAACCCGGAAAATTCTACTAAAATGCTACACTTTTAATTTGACTACTTTGACCTAAAATGTTAAATTCACTTTGAATTCACTTTAGTATATCACCTTGTCAAAGTTGCAAACGGAATAAACTATTATGTTTTTGTATTCTCAAATGTGTGATATTGTTTGAGTTGGCCCTCGTTAGCGCACATCTGTTTTATGTATCCGCTATCCCGGCTGCATAACACAGTGGTGCTTTATAAATAAAATTATTATTTTGATTTAATCAAATTCCTAAAAAAGTAATCAAATTCTGTCCCCCATGGCTGCACAACAGCCCACACTTTTACCTAACCCTACCTCAAAACTGGGGAGTTCATCAGATTCAGTTATTCATCCAACTTTTATGATAATTTATACTAATCCGTCATTACTTTTCTTTTTTGTCGAATGTTTCTACAAACTTGTGTGTTGGACCATCGCACAGCCACTGACCAGAAAATGCATAGATCTATATAGAATAACAGCCATCCCTTGTCAGTGGTAAGCGGAAAAAGTATAAAAATTTAATTTGTTATTTTTACAAATCTACCTTTATTATTTTAAATAGTTTTTTTTTTTTTTTTAAATAAAACCGAATAACTTGTGTTGGTTACTATCCCTTTAATTTACCAATCATTCCTGCTAGCTAGAGGGGTAAATACGATCTCGGCAGCTTGTTCTTGTCTTAAGCTTTTTCCCAATTTCTAATGCTGTGGGAGGTAGAATGTTAAATAATTAACCCAGGTTCAAGAGACTGTAACAGACTGTGGGAGACAGGGATGATATATAATTGAGAGGGTGACCCATGGAATGAAAGTTCATCGCACCTAAACCCTATAGATTGTCAGAAAGATGTCAATATTGTACCTTCAGACATTTATGGGAACATTAGTTGATCAAGGGGTCAAAGCACCATGAGATTTGTAGTTCTGCAAAAGTTGGGAGGGGTCCATCTACTCTTTGGCCATTCTTGATGTACCCTAATAATTTGTCATAAGAACTGACAATCATATGTGAGTGAAACTGTTCTGTAAACTATCTACCATTACTTTATACATAAATGTTAATTTTGGTGGCAAATTTCAATTTAGTTTCTTTCATAGTCTTTTGACTAAAAAGCCATTTTAGTTTTAGTCGTATTTTAGTCATCTGAATTGTTTTATTCGACTAAATCTCCAGTAGGTTTTAGTCGACTAAGTCTCCAGTAAATTTTAGTCGACATGACTAAAATTTAATGAGTTTAGTTAAAACCTCTATCTGTCTCATTTGCCCCTTCCACAGCCCCTCTCGGCAGTGTTAATTTTGGCAGCACATTTAAATTTAGTTTCAGTCATAGTCTTTTGACTAAAATGCCATTTCAGTTTTAGTCGTATTTTAGTCATCAGAATTGTTTTAGTCTCAGTCTAGTTGTAGTCGACTACATCTCAAAAATGTTAGTCAACATAAAATTGTTAGTCAACAAATAGTGTGGACAAAAGGTATCATCAAGATTAAACTATGTAGCGCTGAATTTATAAGGATTATTACTCTTTTGTTTATAATAAAATCCCCTTTAACCCCTTCCCGACCGCGGACGTATCAGGTACGTCCGACAAAAAACTGTCTTTGAGGACCTCGGACGTACCAGTTAAGTCCGCAGCTATTTTGAGGGCTGGAAGATATTGTGATCGCTTCCAGCCGCTCTGATAGTATTGCAGCAATGCCTTGATGTCGAGGCATCGTGCAATACCTCTCATTTCTGCCGGCCCCCGGAGAGCACCGGGT